TCCTGCTGCCCTTTTGAGAGAAGTGAAATTTAAATTTATTCAATGTTAATTCCCCACAAGTAGTTTCATGCAATAAACTTTTTAACTGATTGTTTTTCTAGATATAATCCCCTTCCCCCTCCTGCCATCTCTATCAACTTTGAAGCAAACTCCATGTCAACAGCTGCTGTGATTATTTATATTCTATAAAGATATAAAAAGCTAGAATGTTTTTTTTCCCAAATTTCAAGTGCCCAAAATGAAATGCAATTTTATATATGCTCTGTGCTATTCTTTAACCTTTTTTGATTGTTGGTGAATAAATATGTATGAGGACATTTTTCATGAGTGCTAGCCATAAATCTTGATCAGACTTAACTACATGACTCAAGCAACTTGGAGGTGGAGTTATATTTACTAAATAAAAATTCTATATTTAATTAACATATTTATTAAAGCTTATAAATGGAAATAACTGCATAACTGAAACCTAGATTTTAAGAACAAATTAGAAGACATATTTATTAATTGCTTCAGAGTTGATCATGTACACAGATTATTACACAAACTGTTGAAGATTTTAAATTTAGTATAATTTTAAGTTAATTAAATGCCAATTAATTACAGTTAAGTATTTAATGAGGGTTAACTATGATGCATGCTAAGAACTTAATTATTCCCTGAGGTGTCTCTATTTCCAGCAGGTCCCTGTTCATAAAAGGTGGTCACAGAAGTGCTATGTCTCCATGACTCATGTTCTATTAGAGAACTCAGATTCTGCCTAAACATCTCAGAGTCTACTTATATTGTAGGACTGTACGAAGCTTCGGTCCCTGATTCGATTCAGTGGAGATTCAGCCCAATTTGGTGGCTGAATCTCAGAATCCAAATCGAATCAAGAGACCCGTTAATCTCTTCAAATCAAATTGGAAGCCTCTGAATCAATTCAGAGAGATTCGATGATTCAGACATAGACACAGCTTTAAATTTTTCTACATACCTCAAGGTACCAGGCACCTTGTGAATGCTGAGATGCTGGGGCACATGGAGTGTCCCACAGGAGCACAGGGAGGCTCCACAGCACGCCCAGCAGCAGACCGGGAAGTGGACCAGAAGCACTTCTGTGTCCGCTGGGGAGCTCACCCCCCGGCTCAGTGACTGGTGCCTCCTAGGCCCCCCCATGGTCAATCACTGAGCCAGAGAGATGTGGGGGGCACAGGGGGCAGTGCACTCAGCTTCTGGCCCACTTCTGGGTTCACTGCTGAGCATGCGGGGGGGCTCACTGCACTCCTGTGGGACACTCCATCTGCCCCATCATCTCAGTGTTCATGAGCCATGCCTGGCACCTTGAGGTATAAAGAAAAAACATTTAAAGCTGTGCTTATGGCTGAATCGCTGATTCTCTGAATCAGCATCGAATCTTCAGATATGGATTCAGCTGAATCGAATCAGGGACAGTGATCTGAATCAACAAATCTAATTGCTGTCTCTGATTCAGGCTGAATCTGAATCGAATACAACCTATTTTGCACACCCCTACTACATAGCTGTAGAAGTGGTTGCTACTGGTTAGACTGTATTTAAGGCATCCATAAAATGATCTCATTTAGTTTTCTATTCAGGCATCACAGCATCCCCTTGCTTCAGATTTAAATTTTGGCCTCATGACTCCAGGTTTCTGTACCCTTGCACCTAAAACACAGTCACTGAACTTTTGTAACACACTTTGATATTTGCTATTTATTTGGAAAATAATTGCACTCATTGCATTGTTCATGCTGTTATATGGGAGAATGGAATTACCCTAAATATAGTACCGTGTTCTGTGAGTAAGGAATAGTGCATTCCAGAGTTCCCAGGTACACAAACTAAGAGCACAGCCCTTCTGCTCTTTTAAGACCATGCAGCTTGGGCTCCTTTTGCCAGCTGTGCAAGTTTTTGAAGATGAATTTCAAGGCCATGACCCCAATCTTCTCTTCTATTCATGGAGTAACTATCAAAGCCACTTTCAACTGGATCTTGCAGGTCTGAACTCAGGAACTGGTTACAGCAAAGATAAAGTGAACCAGAAACCCTCCCACACTTTGCACACCATAGAAGGGAAAACATGCATTCTGACCCTTAAAGTGCATTTCTATAGTAATGTATCCTATTATGTGCTAATCCCAGTCATTTAATAATCTCTTGTTCTGTAGTAGTCCTAGTTCATCTGTTGATCAGTGATTTCTAGTCAAGTCCAATGATCAGGTCAGTTTAAGTGTATTTTAGTTATTGATAAACAGGATGATGCAGTCAAATACATCAGAGAACAAAAAAGGGGTTTGTAAATCCAAATTCCCAGAATGAGTTATAATTCTTTAATATGATTTTCCTCCATCCTACTTTTTTAGAGTTACTGACACTACATCCATTTCTACGTAAGCATTTGTGGTGTACAAAATCCATACATGATAGATTATTTAAATCAATGTCATCTTCATAAATATGGACACAAATTACACAAGGGCATGTGTATATCCATACCCTCAGACACATCTGTCTTCTGCATTTATAGCTGTGCACTACAGACATTAGAATATGAATGTATTGTCTGAGTGTCCAGCGTAGTTTTTAATTATGCAAAGTGGCTGCAAACCTAAGTCAGTCAGTAGGAGCTTCCAGCAGTTTACTGAACACCATTATGATGACAGAGCTCTGAAAGAGTGAGTGGAATTGCAGTGTGAATACAGTCATTAACTTATAAATATAGAAATCAAAGTTTATAATTCATATAAAGTGTTTTAATATTTATAAAAAATCCTCAATCCTCAGCTTCTTCAGTTCCTTCCAAAGAGTTTAAAAATATCTTCTCACTAGTTATTGATTATATTCCCTGACATAATATCAACATTACTTGTACTTGACTCCATGTATTTGTTTAGCTGTTTACCTCACTGATAGATGATGTCTCTCACAGTCCTATCCACAAATCAATGGTAATTTGTGTAATTTCTTGTGCAGGTATCAGACACAATGCTGTGAAGCTGAAATTTAGGAAAAATGTGTCAAGCAAACAAAGCAACACATAAGAAAATCTCAAAGATTCCCCTGCCTATTTCTCAGTATTATGAAGTGTAGTGGCTGTAGTGATTGGTATGCCAAAGATGCTAACCCATAAAAGAAAAAGTACAGAATGTATTGACCTGAGTGTTAAAATCATACTCTTCAATGTACAGTAACACATTTTTTTCCTTAAGGAAATAACATTTGACAGGCAAAATGCTCATTTTTTATAGTGGGAAGGGAAAAAAAGTTGGTGCGCAGCATGGTAAAAAGAACATTATTATTTACTTCTAGAATTTTTGTTATGGTTCTTTCAGACATAATATGCAAAAATGGATATAATATTTGGGTTTATTTTTGGTTTATTTGTTTGTTTCTGACAAGGAGTGATATATTGATTCCACAGAACACAACTGCACACAAACAGCTGTACAGATCATTTGATGGCATCCTGGATGCCAAAGAAATTACTGTTAATTATTACAATGATTTGCATGGGAATTCAGAGGAAACTCAGTTTTCTTTATCCTTGTTCTTATTTTCTATGGTGAGGAAAGTGAACAACACTGTTGAAATACTGAAGTCCAGATTAGTGAGCCTCTGGAGAGTTTTTCAGGCAGCTTGGTTTGAGTCTGTTGCTGGTAAACAATTGAAGCAAGCATGGATCTATAATGTTGTCCATTTAATGCTGACACCAGTCACTGACTGACTGGGTTAAATCCTGTTTGTCTTTCCTACATGGCATTGGGCATAGCTATATAACTTCAGTTTTTGGAATTTATGTGCAGTTTGAAACTTAGTTTTGCCCCCACTAGCCTACTGACCATGTTCAGTAGCACTAAACACTTTTTGGGTGGCTTCATGGGGAAATAGGGTTACCCAAGTATGATTACAACA